GACTGAATTGGGTTTTAACCGACGGGATATCATGCGATTCGTTTTATCTTGAGACTATTTTTTTCCGTTTTAGTGAGTTTCTGATTCTTATCGAGCGCGTTTTCGAAATGATTGAGGAATACTTTATGAAGAGTAAGTAAAGACGATGATGGTAGGTTACAGCACGAATGAATGCAAAGACTTGAGCTTGATTGACATAAAATCTGATGAAGATTCTGGCAGCGTACTTTATAGAACTTTGCACTTTTTATCGCAAAATGCGTAAGATTCTCATGAGATTTGAGAGATTATTTGGTTACAATCATCGTCGATTTTCTTGTATAGTATATTGAGGAAGTATTTTTCGTGATTTGGAAAACTTATTTTCATGACATTATTCTTAGTGTGACGTAAAAACTCAAGAAAAATTTCATAAAAGTCGCACGAAGCTGTTTAAGTGAAGAATTCTGGTTTGATCACTGTTCGAATGTCGATAGACGGAAGCAATTGTCGTCAATGAACTTTTATATGAATGGAATGCTAGATAGACTGTGACAATGAAACAGACTTCGCCTTACCTCGTTTGAGGTTTCTTTAACTGTTCAGAGTGAAATTTCTATATGAGAGTGTTTATCTGTGGAACTTTACTCAAGAAGACTCTCCTTCACAATATATTTTTCACTTACAATGATCCATTTAGACTGAAATGTTCAGAAATAAGTTTCTCTAGTGATCAAAACACTTTTGGTGAAAACTTCAATCAGATACATCAGACTAAAGTGAACTGCCGACTTATCAATTATCTCTTTGTGGACTTCAAGAGGGTCCTTATAGCGTCGTCACTTCAAGAAATACAGAGCTCAAAGTGGTTTCAACTCTAGACCAATACCTATGTGCAGTTTTTGTCCAAGCAAAACTTTGAAATTTGCTTCTATTTATTTGTCATGATCATTTTAGTAGATACGATGTTAAAAATAAGCGAAGAAAACCTCGCTTTTCTCAACATAGAAATTAGCTATAAAAAAATCTGACCGATCTTGGACCTTTCGGAAAAAAAACGAAATATTGCTCATATCTTGAACCGGGTCGGATCTATTTCAATTTTACTGATTGACTACTTTAGACATGGATTTTTTTTCATTGCAATCCAGAAAAAAAAACATGTTAAAATGGCATATTCATAATATATTTCAATGAAGTCTTTAAAGGCACATAACAGATGACATAAGTTGACACTATATGTCGTGCTTCATTCATATAAGAATGTTCATTCAATGCGGTTACAAATAAAAATATAATCTTTCCAAAGCTAAAAAGATATAAAAAGAACCACGAAAATTTCTCAGATAGCAGAGTATTAGAATTAAAACTCTCTTCGGAAAGTCTGTTACAATTCGACCGTTTCTCAAAGACTGTATCTTTTGATTATAAAAAGTTAACTTTGATAGTTTTTCGAAAAAATAAATTTTCTAAGGAGAAGCCTCTTTTTAATAAGTTTTTGTTCGGAAAACAAAAATGTTACCATATGTGTCAGTGTAAAAATGCGCCAAGATCATTGCTTATTTATTTTTTTTGACAATCAGGATCTACTGATGTTTATTAGATAATTGAATAAATATTATGATTTCAAGAGTGTCCTCGAAGGTTCTTAAATTGTGACTGCTTTTATAGCTTCTTAGGTTCTTGAACTTGTTGGAATTATGTTGTTTATTTTTTTTTACCTTCGTCTCTTTGATAAATGTTTAGGTTTTCAACATTTGAGGAACGTAGAATTCCTGGAACTGAACTAACTATCTTTTATGATATTCAATATCGTTCATCTGAAGAAGCCTCTTTTTCATAAATAATGTAGAAAAGAAAACTGCGATGCGAAAGGGCTCAATGCGTTTAAAAAAAATATTAACTCTGTTTTCTATTTAGTTAAATATTGCAGAAAATAAAGAAATTCAATAACGTTCTCTAAAGTAGCTTAAATATTGTAATTGACTCGTTTCATTTCGATCATATTCATAAAAGTCAAAAACTACCCTCGAATTTTTACTATTATTAAATCAACAAGTACAAACAATCAAAAATAATTATTTTTTGAACTGAATGATATCTTAATGATAATTGAAATCTGACTCCTTGATAAAGGTGAACTTTACCTAATAACGATAATATGCGTCAGTAATCGCATTCAGTCGTGTACACACATTACGAACTGAATATAAAATTGTTAATTTATCGAGATCGTCCAGAATGCGATATAATATGTTTGAGAGCTTCATTAAATTTTTTTTTCTCTCCATCTTGTTTTATCCTTCAGAATAAAAGCATTTAAGAGAAAATACTCACACACCTATTGATCGATACACAGATCATCTCTAGTAGCTGTTTTCTCGGAAATAAGACTCAAGCCGAATATGAGATTGACAGTAATCGATAGAGGAAACTTTTTTGTGTCAAAATTCAATTTCAGTTTTTTTCCGAAAAAATGTTTATGCACAAAAACAATCGATGCAATCTGACAATTCGAGACAGAAATATCTAGAATGGCTTGTTCTCGAAGATAACGTTAATGCTGAACAATTGATTCTATTCGAAGAACTATCTTCGATCTAGGGTTCTTTTTTCACTCTCACACAGCATTATATGTGTAAATCACATCAATTTAGTTCGCAGATCTGATTAAAGTAAACAAATGCTGATATCACATATATTTTTGTAAATATATCAGTAATGTTGTGTTTAGACGATCTAATTTCTTTCTATCAAATTCATCATTTTTTTCTCCGATTATCTTGTTGCAGTAATCTTCAGAGTGATGTAAAAGTTTCGGCGTCACTTTTAAAAAATTGATATTATTCACGATAAACTTATACATAATTAATTGATGAAAAGAAATAGATCACAATGTTTCAAGGAGTTTTGAGATATAAAATTGTTACGTTTTCTTTCATACAGATCGTTTAATTTAAAAACTCAAACATATAAAAATGCGTCAAAATGTTTCACTAAAATAATAACATAAACTTTTATGTTTTTAATAGTTATCGTAGATTTTTTTTTTATTGATTTTCTTAGCTAATTCTTTTCACGTATTATTCATCAGTAGTACTATTAGACATGAATAAAACTGATACGATTAGTTGAAAATTACAGATGATATTCAATTTCCACAGAATGTTATTATGTAATTGATGCAGACGAAATTTGATAGGCATGCCTATGTATGTATTCAATCAAAAAAAAAACTGTTCATTCTGTTATAATGAATGCTTTCTTTTTTTGATTGATGATATTCTTGTTGTTTCGACAATAGAAAGAAGAAGAATAGCAACAAATGGTACTAATTAAATTCAATGATTAAAATGATTATGTAAAACATTCAATCGTCAATCATTGAGATAAGAATGCAAAACAAAAAGAAAAAAGAGATATAAAGAATGAAAAGAAAGATTCAGTACTTTAACAATTTGTATTCACGATCGAAAAATGATCATCATCGTTTTCTTTCTTCTTTTTGTTGGTAATACTCATACGGGTATTATTCAAGTATTTAATTCATCAAGTAATTTTATTTCTTATAATTTTAATCTATAGAAAAAGTTCTATTTTAAATATATATGTGTATATTAAGGTTTAAATGAAACTGAAATTAGTCAACCACTTGTCATATATAATAATGATAATGAAACGGCATCAAATGATAATCAATCATCAATTCAAATAATCGATAAAAATCAATTTGCTGAAACTGTTGTCGATTTATTATTGGATCTTTTAGAAAAAGCAAATCTATCTCGTACTGTATCTATCATACATAATGATACAGAATTAAATGAACTTGTCGAACAAGATGATATTGATTTACAAACAACGGCTATTAAATTAACTGATCCATAAATATTTATATCAAAATTAAAATTTAGTTTATTCTCGTCTATCTAATCAATATATAATACTTGGTTTTTTTTTATTATTATTGTGAAAGACGATCTGAGAGAAAAAAATTTCGTTTTTTTTTTGTTTTTCCATTGCAGATATATTTAAACGTCTTTTATTCTTAATGAAAATAGTTTTATTGTATGTTAAGGTTCATTTTTGTATATATTACATTCAAAAGTTTTTACGAATGTATTGAGTAATTTGTTTGTAGATAATATTAAAAAATAATTATTTCATGTCATTTTATTCTTTTGTTTTTGATTTATTATTAGAATAATGAAATTTATAATACATCAAGAACGATAACAGACAAATATTTGTTTTTATTTACATCAGTTAAATCGAGTAATTGCTATTTATAAATGTAGGAACGATGTACTATGAAAAAAATAAAGTAATTTGATGACTGAACATCGACTGCATAATGTTAATTTTCGAATTTCACTATATTAGACAAAACTTAATAACCAAAATAAATGTAGAATGAACATTATAACTATCTAGTCTGGCATAGCCTTTCTGCTTCAATTTACCTAGAGAACCAAAGATTTTTTTTTGAAAATCTCTTCTGATATTTAAATAGGGGTTTTTAGAAAATAGGTAGTGGAAACTTGGCATTGTTGCTAAGATAAAATAGTATTTTACTGAAAAACGAGCTTGTAAGTGTTAAAATTCGCTGAGTCTCCAAAAAAGGCCTTTGAAAATCGATGATCTTCCACGATGCCTAACAATTTTCATTGTGTGTTGTCTTTTGTTTTCGGAGACGAGGCTTACTACTTTCGACACATTCATTCATTCATATACAACTTAGTAAATATTTAATTTTATATTGACTTTGTTCAAAATTGAATTCAATCATATTGTCTATTCATTTTCAGAAAAAAAATCATTATTATATTCTGACTTCTTGTTTTTTTTTTTTTAAACTAATATTTCATGATTGTTATCAAAGCAAATCATTTTTCTTTTTATTAATATTTTTCTCTGTCGATACTAATGATAATGGTCTGATTTCCAAGTATGAGAAAATATATCATCTGTCGTTCTCTCACCAAACATATACATACAGATTGTATTATAAATAACATTCTATGACTTGTTCTCGTTATTGTAAAACAATGCTTCGAACTACAATCGTTTGCTTAATTGCCTTAGCTTTGCAGGTAGTTTATATCTTTATGCCTTTTATTATACTTCTAATATTATTTATCTACTTGAGGTATCTGCATTACCTGAGTATATTGAAAATCTTGAACGTGATTTAGCATCATTACCTGAAGAATATCAATATTTGGCTAAAGAAATCAATTCGAAGCGTGCAGCTGATAATGAACGAAAGTAACTATTTTTTTTTTTTTTGTTCATCTTTTATCTTTTCAATTATTCTTTATTTATTAGTAATGATGGATATTGTTGTAAAAATTGGCAACATATTAATAATGATCAAATAGTCACCAAAATGCAAACTTCATTAGTACCTAAAACACATACAATTACAGTTGGTTATCAAGATTGTCATGGAAATAAAAATCCAACTCGTATATATATATATATTCATATGATAATGAAAAAAAAAGAAGAAGATTTTTTCTATTAAAGGTCCACCAGTACCAATTCCAAGTTCAACAGTACGTCCAGAAGAAAGTCAAACAACATCTACCACTTCTCGCCCTATAAGAACAACAACTGGATGTATGTGGACACCAATTTATGGTACAGAAACTTAGTTAGTATATGTATGTCTAGCATTAAATTAATATTTTTTTTAATATTTTTTTTAGTATGACTACTGAATATACAGTTGTAACAATGCTTGTACCAAATTCACAAACATATTGTGCTCCAGAAGATTATAAATGTTGTCCAAATTATGTTATGCTTAATAATAATTGTGTTGGTAAGTAAATTCTTTTTTATTATTGAATATAATCATTTGTTTTTATATTTCATAAGATCAATCCGCTGTTGCAAATCTTGAATATCTCATTCAACTTGGTTTAATTAGTGGTATTGGAAAGAAATAAAGATGAAAAAAAAATAAATAAAATAATTTTGAAATAAAAAATTATAATTCAGTGAATAAATTCAAATGATTTGAAAAATGAAAAATATACTTTATTACTAAGAATGAAATTATAATAGAAATATACGAGTTCTAAATTAATTATCAATTTTAAATATATATATGATAACTATTTCATCGATTATAGAATATTTGTAATTATTAACAATAAGGATTTGTTGTTATATCGAACAGTTGATCATCATTTTATCGTAATATCGAAATGAACATTACTGAAATAGAGCTCATCAAAATGAAGATCATCGAACATTTCGTTTCGACAATCAATCCTTACGTTCATTCTTTCTATAAACTTATCATATATAGATTTCTATATATAGCATCTATTCAAATATGATACATGCATCATAAATTAAGTTACTAGCTGAGTTTCTAATTTAATTTATGAACCTTCGTCATAACTGAGTTTAAGTATTTTGTTTAATTACTTACTTAAGTTAGTTATAAACTTGGTACATCACTCTAATTACTAAGTACAGTTACTATCAAATTCAAGTATTATTTCAGAAAATTGATGATCGGCATAAAGATTAGCAAAGACAGACATTGCCTATAGTAACATCATCGAAATGCTAATAATGGAATTTTGGCGACGAGTAACTGATATAATAAATTTATACTATTTTCTCTTGACTTTGCTCGAATCGAAAATTATTTGTCTTCTTTTGTTTTACAAAAAAGTTAAGTTTGATTATCGATTAAACATCTACTGAGATTTTATGCCATCGAATTGCTTGTTTTCTTAGTATATTTCTTTATGTCGTCTTTGAATTGCCAACAGCCATTGATGCGTCATAAAAGAGCGCTTCGACTTTTGTTACAATCTAGCAAAATCGGTATTTTTCAAGGGAGATGAAAGACTATTTGGCTGGAAAATATGGTTATTTTTTAAAGTAACTGCTAAATAGTATTGATCATGTGATCAATCGCTCTCTATGAAAGAAAAAAAATCGTTCGTGAATAATAAATGTTACAAACGATTATTTGAGCCGCATATCCTAATCAATCTTTCAATCAATTTCTCTCTTTTTTTTGAATATTAGATATATTTGCTAACTTCATAATTGTCAACGTAAAACAAAAATCTTTACATAAGAGTAATGTAGTTTCGGTTAACATATTAGGTTTTCAATGAATCATATAGCAATTCTAATATGCTTTCGCAATAGAGATCGACTACACTTAATCAATTATTGTATTTTTAATGTTTCTAGACTTAGAAAGACAATAGCTGGGTCACATTGACTAAAATTCGCTCCGCTTTTGTCAACTGCAACCAGTTCACTAGTGTTGGAGTTTTCTACGAATAGTAGATACTGTTTAGTGTGTCTACTTCTTTTTATCTCGTTTCATTTGAATAAGAGAATCCAAATATTGAGCGTATCTCCGAAAAAATAAAATACTTGCTTTGCCTACTAGAACATTTTTGAAAAATCTGCCAACTTGATCGCACGTACTGTGTTGGAGAAACGGAGACGATTTTGTATTTGTTTTTTGTATAAAGATTATTTTCAACGAAAATGAAAAACAAATTTTCCTATATGTATTAGAACTTGTTTCTCTAACTAAAGTGATCGAAAGCTGAGAGTGTTCAGTGGTGTTGAAGATCTATGATCTCATGTATGCAGCACCTATAGAATGAGAAATAATTGTAACACAAGTTTTTCTGCTAGGAATTTTGAGAGTTGTATTTCATAAAAGTGTTTACTAACAACGAAGAGCCTTCATTTATATGACATTTGATAGAGAGCTTTTCGAAGCTATATTAACGATGAAAAACTAAAAATCGAAAAAAAACATTGGCTTGAACATCTGGAGAGATAGAAGTGCCGTTAAGCCACTGCTAAAACTCATCATTCTTAAGGCAGCTCCCTCTCTCTATTTACGGATGTTAATATCAAAAATTTTTCAATTTTCAATTTTTTTATATTACTGAAATAGTTTTGAAGTGTCCTCTATCATATGTCATATAAATAAAGGGTCTTCTTTCTTAATTAGTACTTTTATTAAATCCAACTCTCGAAATCTCTGGCAGGAAACCTCGTGTAATGATTATTCTTTGTATGCAAAAGTCTTCTAATAATAATCTATAAAAGTGCTGAGAACATGAACTATGTACTTGTAATATCTTTGAACAAAATCACTTTAGTTGGAAAAAATGTTCTTAAACATATAGGATAGTTTGTTTTGCATTTTTCTTAAAATCAATTTTTGAACAGAAACAAATAAGTTTTCCTTGTCGTTCTTCTACACAATACATTCGATCGGACTCAAATTTTTTTTCATGAGCATTTCGGTCAAATTGATGCACGTAGTTTTTTTTTCTTCAAAATCCAATGTTTTGCTTCTCCTGAGTTTTAAGAACCATACTTACTTCAATTTAATCCTAATTGTCATAAAAAAATGAAGTATAGAGTTCTGCAGAGGATGGATAACTTCAGGCCTTTGTCACTTTCATGTCTCTTGGAAGAAAGAACATGGAAATTGTAAGTCTTTAACAACTCGTATTTTACTCATTGAGATCTATCTGATGTGAAAATTTTATAATTTTTTGTCGAGCTCTTACCAAGAAACTTCGAAACGGGTTTCCTAAAAAACAATCGAAAAAAGTTATCACTTGTTAATGCTTTTTTTTTTTGAATTTATATATAGCAAAACAAAAAGAAAAATAACAAAATTATAATCGCAAGTAGTCAAGATTCCATATAACAAAACGTATAAATTAATCTTATCGTTACCACTTATATTAAATTGACTATTGGAGTATTAGATGTAAACAATTTGTTTCTTGATAGAAGATGATGAAATCGTTTATGATAAGAAATACAATAACAAAACGAACGTAAATCATATTTATCTTTAATACATGCTGATGTTTGACCATAAAGATTAATTCGAAGAATTTCACTATGTAATCGTATTTGTTTCGTTGTATCATCATAGAGTAGATTACTTTCAAATATTGCATCTGATGGTGATACATCAAAGAGAACAGTAAATAAACGAGTAAAATTTTTATCTAATGTTTTATTATTTATTATTTTTGTTTTTTCTAATTTTTCAACTTCAGCACGAATTATTGTTTTAAGTTTAAGTCTTATACATAGATGTTGATGATTTTTTAATTTATTATTATTTATATAATTAATACTAGCTATAGTTAATTCTTTCACAATAGGTAATGTTATATCAAGTGTTTGTGTACGTGAACATGGACAATATTTTTCTTAAATAGAAAAAAAAAAGAATTAAACTAATAAATCTTTTTTTTTTGTATGTTTACCTGGAATACCAGCTGATGAACAATTTCGTTCTGGAATAGAATGAAATAGAGATATACCTGATGTTGTTGGATGCCAATTAACAAGAAGAGGATCGAATAGATGTGGTTCTTCAACCATTTTTAAAATATTAACAAATGTTTCATAGACATCCCACCATGATGTAAGCACTAGTAGAATAAATAGATTAATTAGAAATTTACTTGTAAGTATTAGTAGAAAATTTCATTGTATTTCTATTATTAAATAATTAATTAAAAAAATATTTCTGATGTTGTATCGTACATAGAGGACGAAGGATTAGTCTTCTGCATGAAAAAAAAGTTGTTTTCTATGTTCTTCGTTGTACTCATATGATTTTGATCATTACGAGATCAGTCAAAACCGAAATCAAAACAATAATTTTTTCCTGGACGTCTTCTATGAATGATTTCTAACGAACAAAATATTTCTATTCAATAAATTTTTAATGAAAATTTTATTTATCAATCAAATAAAACTTACTATGTTGATTTTTTTCAATATTTTTAATAGCTATTGGAAAATTTTCTTTATATGATTGAGGTAAAAGTATTGAAAAAAATGGTAATTTAACTTCAAAACTTCCAATACGTGTTAATCTTAAATGATGTTGTCTATGACCATGATCACCACATAATATTAATATTGTATTATTTAATAAATTTTGTTGATATAAATTTTGAAAAAATTTTTCTAAATCATTATCAATCCAAAAAAGTCTTTCTAAATAATCATGACTCATTTCATTAATTTTTAATATACCAAATGTTGGATAATTTAATGTTTGATGATAAACATTTAAAAATTGTTTAAGCCAATTTAATGATAATAAATGTAATAATTTATCTAAATAACATGGTTTAGGATTTGAATTTCCTGAATATTTATTATATGATAATGTTTCATATAATGATAACCAATATGGACGTAAATAATAATCTGTTGGTGATTGATGAAAACCATTTTTTAAATTATAAAAAGCACTTTCACGCCATTCTTCACTAAAAAATGTTGTATAATTTAATTGTGAAAAATTTTTTATTATAAATGAATAATTATCATATGGTCCAGGATAATGAATAATTTTTTTTATTTCTATTGTTTTATTTGTTTTTGAATCAAATTCAATATCAGTTATAGGAAATTCATATCGACTATCATTTATATTTATATGTTGTAAATCAATAGCTGATTTACCAAATAACATTGGAACAATATTTTCAAATGTACCATCACCAACAATAGCATGATTTTCAAATGTATATAAACCAAGAGTTTTTAAATATGTTAATGTACGAGGTAATGCTCGATGTGCTTGAAGATTACTAACAGCATCAAGTATAATCATAATTACAGATGGTGGAGATTGATATGATGATGTTAATGTTGAAAAATTATTAGAAATATTATTTTTTTCTAACCATATATCATGAGAAAATGGGGATTTTTTTAAACGAATTAATGGATGTACATATTCATAGACAAGACTATTATTTGTTATTATTGATAAAGATTTTTTATCGAGTTGATTTATTGTACTATTATTTGAACAATTATAACCACTAAATAAAAAAAAAATGAATTTTACTTTTTTAATTGTTTTTTTTTAAAAAAAAGAAAAGTTAGCATCAAGATAATT